CCCCAAAACCCCAAAACCCCAAAACCCCAAAATATTATATAATTGGAATTAACTTAGCAAGAATGAAGTGTTGACATACTCTTCTTTCATGGGGTTGAAGCCATTCTGGGTCTCTCACCAATTGCTAACAGCAAATTTATCAAACATTTCGTAGTTCTTCATGTGAGATGCTTTCTTTCCAGTAACTAGTTCATAAGAATGTCTGAGGTAGTAGAAGTCTGAAGGAAAACAAATATCTGCAACTCCTTGATCTATTAGATATGTGTCATGAGATTCCCACTCTGAAGGACCAGCCAACTTGTTTGTCACCAATGGAGCATTAATCCCGTTGACTGACTTCCTAGGCATAATGAATGAGTCGAAATCTGCTAATACCAAGTGATGAGATGGCATTATTGTGTTGACATGCTTAAACAGCCTCAATGTTTCAGTTGGGATGAAAATGTTATCTTTCAAGGGTCTTCTTCCAGTAAGACTCCTCCACATGTCAGATAATTTAGGAAATATTCCTAACTTATCCATCTCTTTGGCAAGGTCAATATTGTCCATTTTAGGAATTCTTGAGTGGAGGTCAAGGTATAATTGACACCATTCATCATTGATTTCTTCAATGTTTTCTTGGAGGAATTCTTCACCGCCTTCTTTGTTTAGCTCAACCGTGGTCTGGTACTTCCATGGCTCCTTGACATCCTCAGATTCCTTGTAGAGCCTGTCATGAGGCATATTATCAAGAATTTCCATCCCAATGACAAATGTTGGGACTTTAGTAGAGATATCATACTCAAGAATACTTTTGTTAAAGACCTTAATCTGCTCGTTCTTGATCAGACTTGGAAAGGAGTCCTCCATCCTTTGTTCAATGTTCTTGCAAAGAGACTCACTGATCTCTACCAGGTGGTAATCAAAGTTAATTCTACGCTGGACTGCATTCATTTTGAGATACTCAATGATTGACTCAGCTAGGACTCCTGTACCAGGCCCTATCTCAACAATTCTGATGTTCTTGTACTTGTTCTGGTACCAGTTCTCGATAATATAATTTCCAACCATGTATCCAAAGTATGGTTTAAAGACTTCACTGGGAGTGATCCAGGCATTTTGGGGATATCTCTGTTCAAATTGTTGCCTATAAGCATGATATCCAAGAAGTTGTCCGAACTCAATCGGCTCTGAGAGCTGGCCAACCTGATGATCTTCCTTCTGGAAGTATCCCTCTGAAGAAGCATACAGGCGATCTCTGATGAAATCTCTTACCATTCAAGGAAACACTAGAGGTTTCCTAAGCGTCTGGACTTTATGTGGCTTCATTTATATTTATAAATCTTTCTATATAAACTGCCACTCTCGGGGTTTTGGGGTTTTGGGGTTTTGGGGTTTTGGGGTGAT